TGAAGAACAAATAAAAATAAAATCAATAATGATACTTTAAGATTTAAAGTAAGGAAAGCCAATGCAACTTCTACATATGGAAAGAGAAAAAGAGGTTACCTTAGCAGTAAACTCGTAAATGAAGTGAAATAAAAAACAGAGAGAGGGATGCGATGAAAAGGTTGAGCAAGGTGGAAGAATTGTCCGGAAACCGTAAATATGAAAAAGAAGATGATAAATAATTTTGCATTTCAATAAGTAAATGAAGAATCAGAGATGAGAACTAACCTTGATGAATTTCTCTTATCCCCATCTCCTAACGGGGATATCATCAGAAATATTTACAATTAGGGGATTCTGAAATAACCCCCCCCCCCCCCCCACCCCCCCCCCCCCCAAAAAAAAAGAAGACGGATTTTAAACCAGAACCATTGTTTAAGGTAAACAACCATTAAGCTTCACCAAAGGACCAAAAGCTCATAAAATGATATACCAATAGATCTAGTGAAGTAATGAGCAAGATAGCAACTTTATACCTCCAAACGATCAGAATTGTGATGAAGACGATGGATCTAAGCCAGAACCAAGCACACAAGTAACAAGAGAGACTCCTTCTTCCTTGAACCTTCACAAAATGGGCTCACACACTTAAAACACACACAAGCTCACCTCACAAACACAGTCAAAAGTACCAAAGCTCTCAGAGATGGTAAGCCGGTGCTACACACCTCTTAATGGAACATTCAAGGTCAAACCTTAGACCACCATCTAAAACTACTTAGTTGACCAAAAGCCAAATCAATCAAAAATCAACGACCAATGGTGAACACACAGTGGCCAACCACATGCCACGTTGTGGTTATTCAACACAACCGTGACCAACTTTGCCACTACATCATGGGAAACACCGTGACAACAACCTAACAAAACAATCACAAAACCCTCCTTCACCACATTGTGGCGAGCATCATGCCATGTCGTAGTTTCTGGCTAAAGACAACTTAATTGATTAAGCTCGTAATCTGTTAAGCCCTTTGCTTAAACTTTCTAGAAGGATTCTAGGGACAAAACATGTTCCTAAAAATCCAAACTTTATGGACATGAATGACCCATGCATGCCCTTCACTCAAACTAGGTCAAAAAGGTAAGAAATGGAGTCTAAACACCATGCATAGCACTAAAACTTCACAAGAGTTCAGATCTGGAACATATAAGGCATTTAGGACTCCCAAGACCCATAAAGTTGCAAAGCTTAAGGTAACCGACCATTCAAACTTCACCAAAAGGACCAAAAGCTCATAAAATGACATAAAAATATATCTATTGAAGTAATGAGCAAGATAGCAACTTTATACCTGCAAATGATCAGAAATGTCATGAAAAAGATGGATCTAAGCTGGAACCAAGCACAAAAGCAACAAGAGAGGATCCTTTTTCCATCAACCTTCACAAAATGGGCTCACACACTTAAAACACACACAAGGAGGCTAGGGTTTGGGTGAAATACGATCTTAGAGGGTGGAGGCCGCTAACTGAGAAAACTCTAGGAGTTAGTGCCTTTAAATGGGGCAAAAATGTTGAGATCTAGGGTTTTGAACCCCATGTCACCACGTCGTGTCAAAGGTCTTTCCATGTTGTCAAGACAAACCTATTGAAATATGATTGATGAATAGGTACAACTATTAAATCATACATGCATAGGTATAATTCACTACAACGTCAAATCACACATACCACAACAATGAGGTTTCATGAAAATAAAACATCGATTTCGGAACCGTTGAAAAGAGATTGTGATATGCAATAGCTACTGTACCTATAATTCATAAAGTTCATAAACCATAATAACAATAATACATGTTGAATTTTGGATACAACATTTAAATAAAATGTTTTTTTTTTTTTTTTTTTTTTTTTTTTTTTTGGGACATACAATGGAGTTAGATGTAGTTCAAGAATAGATTAGATTGATAGTTCCAGAAAAAAAATTATAAAATCGTTATAATAATCATGAATAAGTCAATAAAATAATATTTAGAATTAATTGTGAGTTATTGCAAATAATAATACAAGTTAATAAACAAAAACTATTATCAAGAATTAGTTATCATAATTCGTTATGAATAATAAATACAAAAACTATTATTGATTAACAATAATATATTATTTAGGCAAATTAATGATTAAGTTCCAAATTTATTTTTTTAATAGAAAAGCTTAAGAAGCTGACTACCTTTTCATTTTAGCTTATTTTGACATCTGCAACAAGTCATGAGACCAAATCGATAACTTTTTCAATATAATGAGATTTTTTTTTATAAATTACCCTTAAATTTGTATATAATATATAAACATATTTTTATGTATTCTTATATATATATATATATATATATATATATATATATACACACACACACACGCACGTACATACATATTTATGTATTTTTTTAAGTTTTTAAAGTGTTTTTTATATAGTTTTTCTTTTATGTATTTTAAATGTATAAATGTATTTTTTTATGTATTTATATGAGTTATGTGAGATTTTAAGTATTTTTACGTACCTTTATGTATTTTGGTATATTTTTGATGTATTTATGTATTTTATTTTATTTATATTTTTTACATCTTTTGATGTGTCTTGAATTTGATTGGTGATCAGGGAGGAGTATGCTTAGCATTTATTGATGAGGTTTCATGTTGGCTTATAACACTCTTAAAGAGAGTAAGATCTTTTTTGTATTTTCTATCTGTATTCATATATGGGATATTTTAGTCTTTTTATTAATCTATTGTTTTGGCATATTACATATGAAGACTAAATATTGCAATTTGCTGCACCATTTACTCATTTGGAGCTTCTTCAAGCACAATCTTACCATAAAGAAATAACCGATCATGTTCAACAACTATGAAACACTCTTGAACAAGATAAATCTTTTGATGATGAAAATAGATTTACCTAAATTGAGACCATATGCAAAGTCTTATATATAAATGGAATAACCCCTTGAGGTGAAAAATGGCTCTTTTGAGTTCCAGGTTTGTTGATTTTAACCATGATATATATATATATATATATATATATATATATATATATATATATATATATATATATATATATAACTCAACAGATGAGAGAAATTGAATGTTTAAATTTCTATAAGTGATAATAACATATTATGTACTTGTAATGAATTGAATGATCTAACTTTTGTTTCTAGGGTTTTTGCTACTAGTATTGTTATGGCAAGTGTATCAATTGATTGATTCTTCAGACAACCAATAAGTTGTATGCAACATCTCAAAACCATAGTAAAATTTTTCATTTTTGAAATAGAATAAACACCCATTTTTATAAAGTTACATTAATAGTCAAACTATTTGTTAATAAATCATAATTCAAAATCAGAGTTATAAGGAAAACAATACAGAATCTCGAATCATAAAACAATTGATGTGCATGTGTACAGTCTCGCCTTTGTAGTCCGATAAGTACCTGAAAAACATTTGAACCCATAACTATAAGGCAAAGCTTAGTGAGTTCCCCCAAAATACTCCATAAAAGCAATACACATACAATGCATGCACATATGAGCCTATAGTCTGCCTAGAGCGCCTTGCAAGGCCTACAAGATGCCTGGACCCCTCTACCGAGCTTAAAGTCTAATGGCCCGCCTCACAAGACCTATAGTAGATGGACTGCTCCCATTAAGCCTACAGTCTGACTGGATCGTCTCGCAAGGCCTACAGTACACTTGACCTACAACATAAAGCAAGACCACCTCAACCCAACCAACCGCAATTTGTCGACATATGCACATAAACAAACAGAAAGACAATAGCCAACAAGACATGCAATTATAATAGATCTACCAAATTAAATAGATCACTACAACATACCAACATCCTGCATACAAGGATACATACTGCAATACAAAGTATAGTGAGAAACTCAACCGAGCTAACTAGCAAAAGCTCAATCGCAAACCTCAAAAATTAGAACAGCTAACACAAGCTACCTTGCGCCAAACCGATACTAGATCTTAGCTAAACACTCAATTCTACCAAGGTTTGACCAAAAGTCAAACTATCAAAAAGTTAATGGTCAACAGTCGAAGTCAACAACCCAAAAGACAACTTTGCTGGCCACCACATTATGGCCCATCATTTGCCACGACGTGGCAATCTCTAGACAAAACAATCACGAGAACCTTATACGCCATGATGTGCTGAGCATATAGCCACGTTATGGGAATTGATCCTGGACAACTTAATGCATTAAACCCTTAATCCATTAAGCTACACACTCATCTCATACAAAAGGCTTTCTTAAACCAAATGAGTCATTAAATTCGCTGTTTTATAGTCATGCATGTCCAATGCATGTCTTTATCAAGCTAGTTCATAACAATGGTGAAAATGAGGTCAAAAATCTCATGCATGAGCCAAAACCCAACCAAATCTCAGTAGAAAAGTCTCATTATTTTGAGAAAATTAACGATGTGGTCCCTGACCTGTTGAACATGTAAAAAATGGCTAAAGTGAAGAAATTAACTGGTTTCTTGGGGTTTTTTTTATTCAAACAAATAAATTTGGAACTTTTCGTTAATTTTTCCAAATTTATTCAAACAAATAAATTTGGGTTTTTTTTTTTATTTAAACAAATAAATTTGGAACTTTTCGTTAATTTTTCCAAAATAATGAGATTTTTCTGAAGATTTCCGTAGAATAAAAGTAGTTACAAAAAAGATAGAAAAGAGATTGTTCTGATATGACGAATTAAAATTATAAACGCAAAATCTAAAACAAACTTGATGATATCAGACTTCTTAGACTGAATTGACCCATCATGACCCATCAAGGCAGCCAACAAGTTTTTGTGTTGAAAAGACGGGGTTTGATTATAATTTTCCAAAACAAATACTTGTCTTGATGGGGACATGTTTCATGAGAACTAGGAAAGAGATCTAAAAAACAGTAAAGATACATTTTTTTACAGATACTTTTGTTGTGTTATTAGAATAAACAAGAAAATCCATGCTAAAAGATCTTTATTATTATGTTTTTGTGATGGCTTAATTTTTGAATAAGAAAAATTTGGGTGAAGAAAACATGAACGTTAATAAACAACAGTCAACAGAATATGCTGGTCGAATTCCAATACTAATTCCTTTTGGGTTTCTACTTTGTAGCATATATGGATAATGAAGTGAATGAGGTCCACATGTAATATACATCTTATCCATAAACCAACCAATGAGGCTTTAAACATAACTCCCATCAGACTTGAAAAAAGGTCAATTCATTCATTTGAATCGCAATCATATTCATATCATGGCTCATTCACTAACCCATGCGGTTGTACCCATCTCAACCACCACGACTCCTCCGTCAAAAAACACATCCTTCCGTCCATCTCTTTGCCATATCCCTCGCAGGTATGTGTTTTTTACTCCCATAAATATTAATGAGTTTTTGTAAGCTAGATTACTCAAATTGCATTTGCAGGGATGTTGCGTTGTGCTTGGTTGGTGCAGTGTTTGGGTTGAGCATCGTGGGTGATAGGAGTGCAGATGCAGCAGCAAGGCGGCCCCCACCACCTACTCCAACAGAGAAGAAGGACCCGAATGTAAGTGGTGTATTGGCTAAGGTAATAGCAAGCAAGAAGAGGAAGGAAGCAATGAAAGAGAGCATCGCCCAGCTAAGGCAGAAAGGGAAGGTCATCAATGAGCCATCAACACCAACAGAATGAGTGAAACTCATTAGTATATGGTTCTTTTAGAAAACCAACCATAGACTTTAACTCAAGGGTTAAGCCTCGTTGTATTGAGCGTTACTCAAGATCATAATAAAATTCATATTGATTGTTTTATCAAAATTACCATAGACATTGGGTTCTATAATGTTTATACATTTCCAAATTAAAATAAAATAAAATTCAACGTACTATCATACACATACTCCTTTATCTAGTTCCATCTTCATAATATTGTGCAATATCTGTTAGCTAAACTATAATTTAACCGTACGCTTATTTACATTAAGTTAGCTATTTTAGTTAGACAAAATTGCAAATTTAGTACTTGTGGTTTGTAAAAACCTTTGGATGAGGTCAAAAAAGTTTTCAGCTTGCACCGAAGGTTCAAATCAAGTTTTTTCATTGTTTTTGGTCCAAAAAAACTTGAAAAGTCGATTTTACCATTTCCATTTCTTTTTTCAATTTTCTTTATTTATTTTGGTATTTAAATAATTAAAAAAATAAAAAATAAAATCTTACCCAACTCTCTCTCTCTCTCTCTCTCTCTCTCTCTCAACTGAAGAACTTCCAATCTCGTCTCCACTAGCAACCTCCAAGTCTTGATTTTAAACTCCGACAAACTCACTGGAAACAGGTAGCTTGGGAACTGCCAGAGTTTCAAGAATCTGAAGAGAAATCAAGAACCTACAACATTTGGGCCAGCTCCAACAAACTCACCTCCAAGACTTGATTTTTGTTCCACCACTTTACCAATTTTAGCACCATAAAGAGAAATCAAGAACCTGCAACATTAAGATTTGATTTTTGTTCCACCAGTTTACCAATTTTAGCACCATAAAGAGAAATCAAGAACCTACAACATTTAGGCCACCTATCGATGCCTTCTAATTAACTCTGACTAACATTTCCCCTCTCAACCTCAATCAACGTCTCTTTCCCAGAGGGTATCACGATGGTTGGTGGTTTTCGTCATCAGAGAACATAACCCACCATCAGTAACTCATCAAAAAATCAAGCACCACCATCGAATTGATCTTTGCTTCCTTCTCTCCTCATCATTAAACCACCCCACCTGGAATCTATTATCTAGTACCAAATCTAGAATCCACAAAACCTAAATACATTGAATCTGATTTCAAACTCAAACTTACCTCTGTTTCTTTGTTACACATACATCGACTTCCATCTTCTTTTGATCTCATCAGAACATCTTAGTTCTCTATACAGATAGGAGTTTCATTGAAACCGACCAATTTCACCATAAAAGGTTCCGAGATGCACCTTTTCTCAGTTCATCAGACCTCCGCAACCCCTGCTAAAGAATAATGTTGAGATGCACCATTGGTGTTTCTCTGTTACTCCTTCACTTTCACAGATCATTATGTTGGGGTTTATCTTTGATTGGAACCCTAAGATTCTTTTGACAAACGATTTGTTGTTGGTTTTTGGATTTTTACTTATGTAAGATGATAAAGTATTGTGTTGTTGAAGGGGAAGGGGGTTTCACTATGTGTTTATGGGACCAATGGTGGGGTTCGATTAACAAGATGATGATCAAAAGGAGGGGTATGTCGATGGAGTTGTGGAAGATTCTTAGAGAGAGAGAGAGAGAGAGAGAGAGAGAGAGAGAGAGATGGGTAAGATTTTATTTTTTATTTTTTTAATTATTTAAATACCAAAATAAATGAAGAAAATAGAAAAAAGAAATGAAAAAGGGTAAAATCAACTTTTCAAGTTTTTTTTTGGACCAAAAACAATGAAAAACCTTAATTTTGGACCTTCGATGCAAGCCGAATACTTTTTGAACCCCATCCAAAGGTTTTTGCAAACCACAAGGACCAAATTTGCAGTTTTGTCTTTTAGTTACTTCTTGTTTCCTCTTGTGTATAACGAAATTGAAGATATTTTGAATAACAAGATGTGAAATTTTGGAAACTCTCTCTGATTATAACATGGTATCAGAGCATCCAAAATTCTGCATCCGATTTCTGAATTCTTGATCATTGAGATTGATTTGTTCTTTCTCGGTTCTTCAATTTTTTTTTGATTCATATCGTTTGATATTTGATTCGATCAAATTCATTTCATCCTTGTTCTTCTTCATTTTATTTGATTTGATTTGTCTCAATCTCTCAAATCAATCACTATCTAACTGATTCAATGTCTACTTCTAAAAATTCAACAAATCTTACCAATTTTGTGGGATATCTCTTGTCCAGTGGCGGAGCTTGAATAATCCGCCACTTGAACAATTAATTACGGGAGCGAAAGTAATATAAACTAAAATTAACATTCTTACATAAAATACCAAATTGTTTTCAAAGAATAAACACCAAAAACACATTGAAAAAGAACTACAACTCAGCTCGACGACCTTTAAGGTCTTTAAATTCATCAATTACTGACTTCAAATCAGTGTTTTCAATAATTTCTCCTTCTATGTAAAACACCAAGCCAGTCGGGCTTTTTAGTACCGGGACTTCGATAACACGAAGCCCCCGACATTTGATGGGACTCAGGATCCGATCAGAGCCGTGAGGTGGCTATAATAGTGATAGGGGGAGGAGCCAATTACGCTTTTCAGTACCAGGACTTCGATAACACGAAGCACCTGACATTTGATGGGACTTAGGATCTGATCAGAGCCATGAGGTGGTTGTCTGACATGGAGGGTTGTTTCTTCACGGGCTCATGTCCTGCTGACCAGAAGGTCAGATGTGCCTTGAACCTGCTAAGATCTGAGGCAAAGGACTGGTGGAGGTTGATGACCGGGTCGTACACTGATGATCAGAGAGCTGCAGTTACTTGGGAGCAGTTCAGGGATATGTTCCCCCTCGCTACATTTCGCGGGTCGAGCTGGAGCAACTAGCTTAGGAGTTCTTGGAGTTGAGACATGATGGTGAGACGGTGACGAAGATCACCCGTATGTTCATAGAGAGGGCGATGTTCTGCCCGAAGTTCGCTTCTGAGCAGGCTCATATGACACGTTATCTAAGCATGCTTAAGACTGACAACCATCAGTTTGTTGCTACCCAGGGATGTGATACTTTGTTGGAGTTGCAGGAGGCCGCTAGATGGTGGGAGCTTGAGATTGAGTTACAACTGAGAGAGCAGAGGCAGGCCTCGGCGCAGTTACAGCCGGCGCTAAAGCGGTCTAAGACCGCTAATTTTAGGTGGGGAGGCCAGTAGGGCCGTACTTGTGGCAAGTGTGGGAAGGGTCACTTGGGGGCTTGCAGATCTAGTAGTGCGTGTCAAAAATGAGATAAAGAGGGGCATTTTTCGAGGGATTATCACCATCCAGCCTCGATTTAGGATATGAGGATCTGCTACCACTGCCATCAGGTTGGTCACGTGAAGACCAACTGTCCACGAATCGTTGCCAGGCCGGCATAGGCTCCAGTGCAGGCTACACTGAGGATTACTGAGGGGATTCAGGGTAGAGCAACGCCCATGAGGGCTCAGGGATGTGCCTTCCAGCTTACAACAGAGGAGGCCAGGACAACACCAAACATGGTTTCTGGTATGTTTCCACCCCTTATCTTATTGATTATATTTGTTTTATGCTTATATGTGTTGTACCATGTTAGGTACATTCTTAGTGAACCCCTTACCTGCTTTGGTATTATTCGACTCGTAGGCAACTCGGTCGTTTGTCTCTCAGAAATTTAGTAGGGAGTTCAGTTTGCCTGTAACAGAGCTAGAGTGTCCGTTGCCAGTCTGTATCGCCAACGAACATGAGATTTATGCTTCTTCAGTGTATCAGGGTTATGTGTTGGAGATCTTTGGGGTATCTTTCCCGATAGACTTGATTCTGATTCCTATGGGGGATGTGTGTGTGATCGTGGGTATGGACTGAATTAGTCGCTTTGGTGCCATGATCGACTGCAAGGGTCAGCGAGTGGTAGTTCGAACCCCAAATGGGGGAGAACTGGTTGTCTACGATGAGGGCACCAGATTGGGTTCAAGGTTATGCTCAGCCGCCAGGGCTCGACAGTATATTCATCACATATGTGCGGGTTATCTGGCGTAAGTGGTGGATATGTGGGTTACTGATCAGACTTCGGTTTCAGAGGTTCTAGTAGTCAGGGAGTTTGCTGATATGTTTCCGAAGGAGTTACCTGGAGTGCCTCCGGAGAGGCAAGTCGAGTTTATGATCGACCTAGTGCCAGGTGCGACCCCTATCGCCAAGGTGCCACACCGGTTGGCACCACCAGAGATGAAGGAGCTGTCATCTCAAATACAGGATCTGTTGGGCAAGTAGTTCATTTGTCCAAGCAGTTTTCCGTGGGGAGAGTCGATTCTCTTCGTCAGGAAGAAGGATGGTTCACACCGGATGTGCATTGACTACTGGGAGTTAAACAAGTTGACGGTGAAGAATCTTTATCCACTCTCGAGGATAAATGATCTTTTCGATTAGTTGCAGGGAGCATCTTGGTTCTCCAAGATAGACCTAAGGTCTGACTACCATCAATCTAGGGTTAGGGAGGAGGATGTGGAGAAGACTGCGTTTCGAACTTGTTATGGACATTAAGAGTTCGTGGTGATTCCGTTTGGGCTCACCAACGCATCTACGGTATTTATGTACCTGATGAATCAGGTCTGCAGACCGATGCTCGATTGCTTGGTCATCATGTTCATAGATGATATCTTGGTGTAGTCCAAGACCCGAGATTAACATGAGGAGCATCTTCGAGAGCTATTAGGAGTTTTGAGGAGAGAACGACTCTATGCCAAATTCTCAAAGTGCAAGTTTTGGTTACGAGAGGTTCAGTTACTCGGACACCTCGTTAACTAGGAGGGGATTTGGGTCAATCCGGCAAAAATCGAGGCGGTTATGCAGTGGGAGGTTTTGAAATCTCCTTCGGATATCAGAAGCTTCTTGGGATTGGCAGGGTACTACCGGAGATTCATACATGATTTCTCCAAGATTGCAGTACCCCTCACTCGCCTGATGAGGAAGGGGGTGGATTTCTAGTGGGGCCATGAGCAACAAAGGGAATTTGAGACCCTCAGACAGCAACTTTGCGAGGCTCCAATCTTGACTCTCCCATAGAGAGTTAAGGATTTTGTAGTGTTTTGTGATGCATCCATCACAAGACTAGGGCGGTCCTCATGCAGAAAGGACGGGTGATAGCCTACGTGTCGCGACAGTTGAAGCCGCACGAGATGAGATATCCTACTCATGATCTAGAGTTGGGA